TTATTATTATTATTATTATTACTACTACTACTACTACTACTACTACTACTACTACTATTTCTGCCTGAGAAGGCAGGAAGTGATTTTGCCCAATGGGAAAGGGCTGGGGTTTGGCTCAGGGAGCCACGCGTAGGAATTGTAGGCCGGAGAAACCGCTTGCAAATGGGCTCGCTTTTGCTGGCTTCGAGCAAAGGGGTTTCTTGGCGCGAGGGGCCAGGCCGGGCACACCTCGTTGGCAACAGGAGCAAAACCATGGCAAGGTGAGCTGGAGCAGTGGAGCAGAGGGGAGCAAGGGTCTGAGTGCAGGATGGTAAGGGCGACTGCGGCTGGGCTGGCTGAAGTGCCCGAATTTTGATCTTGTGACCATGGGAACACTGCAACAGCCATAACATCAAGGACCAGTTGTCACTTTTTTCATTGTAATTTCAAATGGTCGCTGAGTGAATGGTCGTAAGTTAAGGACTACCTGAACATGCCTATGCCCCTGAAGTCATCAGAAATTGAGCTCAACTTGGTATGGTACTGTACACAATAAAACAATGTTGATCAATTAACAAGATCCCTCGTTAGGAAATCTTGTGCTTTTTTTTTTCAAATATCATCTGAATTTCTTTGAAAGGGTACATAGGCAACAAAGGAACCATTATTCAGTTGAAGCCATTTCAAGGTACATTTTCCAGATTGAAGTAAGATATATTTGTAAATAACAACTTTGGAACCCAGGACGTTTGCTCCTATGCAATTAAACCGTTCATTCAAAACAAAAGATACACACGCCTGTTTTCTTCTGTCTATCTCTGGAGCATATGGTGTGTGAACAAGACCCAGAGCGGTTAACCAGGTGTTAAGACCCCACAATGACTGTTATTTAACCCAGAACTAATCGCTATTCCAACATGTCTCACGTTACAGAATTTTAAGGCCAAGGCTGATACCAAGGAAGGGCGCCACGAAACTCTGGACGTACAGACGGCCCGCCCCTTACAACAAGCTTTGCCCTTCTCTTTGGAAACGAAAAGGCGCTGCCATAAGTTAAGTGCCTCTTTTTGCCCTGCGCTTGTTGGAACCGGAGCAAAGCTGGCTCCAGCAGCCGCGCTTCCCCGCTCAAGCGGCGTCACAGCCCAAAGCACGCCGGATCGACCCCCCTCCCGCCTCGCCCAGAACGATTCCCGGCGCGTACCCGGACGAGGGTGAGGTGCGCGTCCGCCCACTCGGAAAGGCGCGCGACATAATTCGCCGGCTCTCCGCCCCGCTGCCCGGCCATGCTCGCCGAGCAGCCGCCGCGGCCTGTCGCTTCCTTTCGGCGCGGCTTCCTCCGGCCTAGCCGCAGCGCCGCTTTCTGGACGCTGGAGCGAGCTGCGTCTCTGCGAAAGCGTCGAAAGGCATTTTGGAGACGCTCCGCACTGAAGCCAAGTCGCAGCTGGGGGTCGGTCTTCTCTTCCGCCGTTTGGTGAAGCCGTCCTGCGTGTGGCCTGAACCCAGCTGTTGTGGCTTTTAGTAAAGCCTGGCGGGTTGCGTTTTGCATAGCACCGATCATAAGCGCGCCAGCGGCTACGCTCAGGGTAATTAAATATCTCCCAAAGCAGGACAAGGTGCTACGCTTTGTACCTATGAATCTCGGCCAGAAGGGCCTGAGAGAACATACAGTGGATGTCGCAGTCCAAAACATCTGGAGGGCGCTGGCTTGCCTCTTCCAGCCATACAGGAGAACCTCTCAAGCTCCCATGTATTAATTCCTCAGCAGGTGGAACTCGGAGGTACTTTGCGGCAACGGGGTGAAGACATTAAAGAAATGAAATCTTTAAAACTTTGTATAAATGATAAATATAATGAAGAAGACTGTAAATGAAGAAAAGGCATTGCTGGGGACAAATGAGGAAAGCGTGGTGTCATCACAAGCTCTGCCCCTTCTGTATATACATTGTGATGTTGCCTGGGCATATAAAGGGCAGCGCTTGATGTGCTGGTTCTGTGGACACCTCTGGGAAAGTGAGGGGTTGCCTTTCGTTTCTCTCTGATGGGATCTGTGCTCCTTGACAAAATGATCATGGGTCTCAAGATAGGCAAGACTGAGAAAACTGTTGTGAAGGCTCAATGCATAATTATAATACTCCTACAATTTGAACTTGTTTAAACAGAAACAAAGCTGCACCAAACCACTGCATTATTTTATCCGTGGACCAACCGCAGAGGGAGAGGAGGTGAACCAGTTTCAAGAGATTCCTTCTCTTCCATGGTTGTATGCAATATTTTGTTATTTAAGACCCAGTATTTAATCTAACTTTTTTTCCTCCTCTCTTCTTATATTCCTTCTGCATCATGACTTTTGGACTGAAAGCTTGTGAGCAGGAATTTCTTTCAATATAACCTTTTGATAGAAATCCTTTTGATTGAAAAATGGGGTGGTGAGTAAAAAAGTGGAAAATATGATATGTAAACTCATTCACTATCTTTGACCGTTGGGTACATACATTGCGGTCTACTGTTGGCAACACCCATCCAGTGGAGACTTGCCATCCTCTTATTGGAAGAGACAGGATTCTTAAGGAATATGTACTATCCCCAAGCTTGGCTTTCTGCATCTCTGCAATCTGAATATATTTTTTTCTGAGATGAGGAAGTCTGCATATGCTCCGTGATAGGTGTTTCAGGGCTGAGTACTTAGGAACTTGACACTGCATTTAATTCATGGAACAAATTAAGCTTTAGCCACAATTCCAACTTTGCTGCTAGGATTTTAACCCCAAAATTACCATCAAAGAAACATTGGAAGATTTCATAAAGCAATCAGTAGTGTTTCTGATACACATTAAACATTGGAACATGAAAAGTGCTTGAGACAACCATGGAATAGCTTGTGAATTGCAGTCAGATGAACAATAAATGTAAAACTAATGCTCAGCCCTGGACCACAAGGAAGACAGAAAGCCCCAGCCCATCCCTGCCATCTCCAGTTAAAAGGACAGGAAACAGGTGACACAAAAAATTCCTGAGTCCCTGGACAACCGCTGCTTGTTAGATAAATAGGACTATATAGATCAGAGAGCAAGTGTAAGGCAGTTTTCTGTGTTACTAAAATAACACATGGTTATCATCTTTCAGACTGAGTCTGTCAAAGACCATCTCCTACAGAAATTGATCCATACTCTTTTTCAGAGATCTTCCACTGCATTCCATCATTTTGAAGGTAAGATCAGTAAATGACAAGATGCAGCCTTTTCAGGGATTACTTTGAACATTTCAAAGGCTGTTCCAAATTCTGGAGGAAGGCTGATCATGCTTCCCTCTAGCAATCTTTTAAAAGTTGATGGACCATTCTTTTTCAGAAGATCTGCCGATAAAATTTTATTTCTGGTTTTAATTGGCATTTTAAGTATTCAATTGCTGCCCTGTTTCTTCTACTGTTGCAATATGTTTCATAATGGTGTTTTCGGAATCTCTGGAGTTATAGCAATATATGTGTATTAAATAAATTAGTTCAAGGCAAGAACTTCCCTCTCCCCAGGTTTTTTCAAGTTTCTCTCTTTATTTTGAGGTTTTAGGAAGAACAGTTAGTTGTTGCTTCTCTTTTACATTTTTATACATTTAACTTTTCTTTAACCGTGGGAGCTTCAGAAGTATAAACTACTTTGGAAGTTCAATATTTGGAAAGAAATGTCAGGATGCAAGAAACAGGGCAAAGTATACACTGCATTTCAGTTCCAAAGCACAGCTTTCCTGTTTAGCTTATTAATACACAAACAAAAATTAAAAGTGGATCATAGCTGTATTGAAATGAGCAAAAAGAGCTTTCCAGGCTTTGTAGTGTAGCATTTTCATAAAAGCGCTTGCACCAAGAACACTGTAGTGTGGTTTCATGCTTATTAATAAGATTTAAAGCAATGAAAAGCCTTAAATACTTTAGAAAATACAGCAAACATTTTTGGTAAAATAAATTATCATGAATTTATTTTAGAAGTGAGCCATTTTTAATCTCAGTAGGCCAGTTTCTTCAAGGTGAACAGTCACTTCAAAAGTTTTTTTTAAAAAAATATGTGCTCTTTAAATGGTAATTTCTGATTTTCTGGTTCATTACACAGGAAAAACAAAAAACAAACAAACAAACAAAAAGCTCAATTAGCAATATTCCGAAATATACATTATATTGCCTTTCCACCCTATATTACAGTCATATATTTTATGACATATATATTTTCAGAGTTACTACCCATCACTAAACTGGTCATCTCTAAAATATTTTTTTAAAGATCTCTTTGAGAATGCCTTTCTTCAACAAGCATCTACAGCTTATAAAATTACATGAAAATAGATTTGATTGTACACAATTTCCCTCAAGTTTCTTTAGGCTCTTCAAAACAAGGCAATAGTATATTACCCACTACTTCTAAAGTCATGTTTGATTAAACTTTGAAGAGAGTTTATAGTTCACCATAAGACTGAGGCAGAATAAAACCGTGACATGGGTAACTAATACAAACAAACCAAAACCAAGCTTTATAAATCTTAATAATGAAAGGCAACTGAAGACAGTATGGCAGACTGCTGGTTAAGTTTCAAACAATAAAAAATTAAACTGCAATTATCAAATAACACTCTGATCTAAATTCAACATCATTCCTTACAAGTTACTCCTTTGATACAAGGTTGTTATTATTTTATGAATCTTTTAATATCATATGTTCTCTTTTTAATGAGGTAATTGTATTTGAATGTTCGGTTCTCAAAGCTGTTACCAGGATTTTTTCATCCTGAAAACTGAAGCTATTACATGTCTGGGTTGTTGGATGTTACCACTTATTCCAATTAAGTGAGCAATTTATTTAATCAAATCTCAGTGTAAATCCATCAGAATATTTCTCAACCAATTTACTTCATTTGGAGTCTGCACAGAAATTACATTAATTAGCACAGTACTTTTTTTTCCACAGTGACTACAGATATTTAATTCTCATTTAATATTGGTTCAGGTTAATAAAACAGAAATGGGGAAAAAAATGCCTTTAACCTATGACAGTCTATAGTGGTTTTAGAGATTTTCATACCATAGAAATAGAAATATTACTCAGGTAATATCTGCAGGCCTCAGGGACATGGTTATAAATCACATCAGTGATTGGTTCCTAAAAGTAGATTTAATGTGATTCTTAAAAGAGAGGCTTATCTTAGGTTTCCCTTGGAATTTGAATATAAGCATATATGCATGTTTTTGTGTGTGTACAAAGCTTTGGAAACAGTATTTCAAAATAATTGCTTAATCTGTGTCTCAGTGGTACATATTTGGGACATACTCTGCTAGTGTAATAAAATCTAAACCAACCATACAGCATATATGAGCTGTAGGACAGGATAGTGGAGACCCATGCCATTTCTCAGAACCGGTTTATTTTAGACTAAACTGCATTTCAAAAGTGAGTTTGATGCTTATGAAAGGGAGGGTGCTGTTTGGGAAACATCACCCACAGTCTCCTTGAGCATGATTGTTTGAATCTCACCTTTTGTAATTCAGGTAATGCTCCAGATCTCATCTTCTTAGAAACTTTTAAACTTTACTACTGATTCTGAGTTTTACCTAGTTTAAATTATCCATTTATAGAATTTATTTTACATTGTCAGAGTTTTGTTTAAATGGCTAACCTTTATTTATTTTGGCACATTGTATTAACAGTAATACAGAATAGGAAAACATAAAAAGACTAATTTTATCATTTATTGTGAATACTCTGCATCCTAGCTTTTTCTAAAAGTAAGCCCTCCCCACCCCTCAAAAGGCCTAGAAACAACTAACATCTTATAATTACTGTAGTTGTGCTAATCTGTGCAGTAAGGATAAATCAAATTTAAGGAACTCCAAATCAGGTTGTAAAATATTAATGAAAATGAATTCTGACAGCACTATGAAAATGAAACTGAGAGCACTATGGATTTTTCATTCAAATTACCAAGTTTGATTGTTCATCTGACCTATATTATAATATTTAAATAATACGTCATCACTATGTCAGACCAGTATGCCAGAATTTTTATCACAAATTCTAAGGGCAATCTCAACCAAACACAAAAGGTTATCTTCCCTCTGTTGATAAGGTTAAAACTTACTCAAAGACTAACCCTATTTTTATTTTCTTGGACATATTTCCTATTCATTTTATTGGAACAGACACCCTTGTGTATGTGTGTGTTTGTGTGTTTTAAAAAAGACATTTTCTAACATAAATCTTAGAGGCTTAAAATTTATTTATACTCTGAAAAGAGCTTCAAAAGGAACAGTGTAAATCATAAAGATTCACATGGAATCAAAAATGTCAATTTCAGAAAGAATTGACTTATTGAAATAACCAATAAAACTGAGACAGTAAATATCCCTGATATGAGTATTTCAGTATTTCACCTCAGTGTTAAAAGTATGACACTCTTTTAACTTTTGAAGAAATTTTCATATGAAAGATGTATACAATACATCAAATGCTATACAGTGCCCCTTTCCATATGATATACATTATATTGTACATCATTAGGGTGCTAAAAAAAAGATTTCCTCTAATGTTCATTGCAACAATTACTTAGATTCCTGACATCAGCAGAAATGGGTATATTTTATGAGAATGACACTTAGGTTCTAAAATTTGACAGTACAGACATTTGATCACCATCTTACATTAACTTATTTCCAGAAGGCACTGAATATCCTGCTTGGTCCTATTTGGGTCCCCCACTAAAAGAAACAAAAGTATGTTCCGTTCTTCATAAATCATGTTTGGTTTTTCATGTACAAACTGTTCTCATCAATTTTGTATCTGCTCCTAATATTTTCAAAAACTTCAGTACCAATAAGTCTCTATGGCTTGGGGCTTTTTATGCCCACAATTATTAGTGCTGTAATGATGAAACTATTTCTATTAGCAAATCAACGTGTGGAGAACCAAAATCTGTACTTTAAAAGAAAAAATATTTTCACTACTATAAATATTTTTATAAATCTTTAAATTTCATAGAAGCAAGGCAAAACAAAAAAACCCGATAGAATCTGTTATCCTCATTGTTTTGACCTATTTGTAATTATGGTAAGCAATATAAAACAATAATATATATATAAACATTTTTTTCTTTCTAAGGCATTTTAACCATGTAGATTCCATGTTTAATATAAATCAAAATTATTATAAGGTCCCTTAAAGACAGCTTTTTCTTCAAAGGTAACTTTAAGGAAATAAAAGGAAGAAATGCAGCAACTGTAGTTTAGGAGAACAGTAACATAGTTTTTAAATCCTGTTTTTCTAAAGTGATTTAAAAACAACAACAACAATCTTAAGGGTAATTTTTGATAAGGAGGGCAAATTTTGTAATTGATCCATACAGGACTTGACTTTAGCTTTTGTAAAGTCATTTGGCATGTGTAAACTGACCATTTTTTAGATGTGATACTTGTTCTCTTGTATATTTGTTACATGACAAAGCTATAGCGATTTTAGCTAGTCTTTTCTGGTATTTCATTTCCATTAACTGGTTCTTCTGCATTTCCATGACGCCGGTTTCTCATCCTGCAGCCTTTTCAATCTGGGCCCAAGGAACAGCCACCAAGCAAATCCCAGTACTATGCATATTACGGATTCCACATAATAACCGTCCAGAGTAGTAACACAAGATCCACCTTCTTTTGAGCAAAGCTGCAACAGAGGAAACCAGAATGGGGGAAGCGGGGTGGTATAGGGAACAAGTGAAAAGTATATCAACTATAGATAAACAAATTGCTTTTGACAGAAATATATAATACATTAAAACATTTTTCTGAATACTGCATGACTGGTTTTCCATTCCTTTAAAGTGCATTATTTAAAAAGTGTGTAAAAAATTTATACATTATTTTTAAAAATGGGCTAAGCTGCTGAGAATATACATTGGTAATCCACAATCTTTGGCCTAATTTCAAACGTATTTGTAAAAATATATCTTGACCTACTGCATGGGGAAGAAAGGGGATAAAGAAATAGATGACCAAATAAAGTGTAAATATAATGCAGATGCAAGAGTATTTGGAGAAGACCCTGATGGTTGGAAAAACTGAAGGCAATAAAAAAAGAGCCTGGCAAAAGGCTAGATGGCTAGATAGTATTGTTGGTATCATGACCATGAGCCTGCAAAAATTCAAAAAAGCAGTTGCTGACAGATACTTCTGGCAAATTGTTGTCCATTGGGTCACAAAGAGTGACATAGTTTTTAAATCATGGTAAATAATAGCTGTATTATATTTTGCATTGGTCAGATCACACCTTGAGTACTCTGTGTAGTTCAGGGCACCATATTTTAAGAGCTCTTGAGAGAAATTAACAAACGTGTGCAAAGATGGACAACAAGGATGATCAAGATACTAGAAATTAGGTTTTGAAAGGTGAGTCTGAAGGAACTGGGCATGTTTAGCTTTGAGGAAAAAATGACTGGGAATATGGAATTATTTTTCAATTACCTCAAGGGGTATAGAATAGAAGGTCTATGTATTCATCATTTCTGAGTGCAGGACAGGGAATAACCATCTTAGGTTATAAGAACACTACCAAAGGCGGAGATGCACCTAAACAAGTATGAACAGCCAGGGATGTTTTAATCTGGGTTTCTTTACTGAACAGGAGTTTGGACTTAATGGCCTACATGACCATCATCATCATAAACCTTCATCAAGGTGTGATACAAAACATGCAAAAAACAAAACAATACTATAATTACAAATTAGTTCAATAAAATTAGACCATTACAACACTATGGTTCTATTATTTTGTCCTTCACATTAAATAGCAGAATGTTTTCAGCAGTCATACAGAAGTCATCTACAAACAATACTTTTATATTGTTTTTGATCATGTGCCATCAACTTAAGTGTTGACTCTTAGCAACCACACAAACAGACTTTCTCCAGGATGATCTTTCTGACCTGTGAAAATATTATTCTGAAGAAGCATGGATATTAGGCCAACCTAGCAGAATCTTGGCTTAATATGTTAGCTTCTTAAGCCATTAATCACAATCTTCTAGTTTGGATTAAACAGGGAATTATGAGCAATGCAAGGTGCCTGCTTTGTCAGTACCATACAGGTGCAACGCACCGTACAAACTGACTATACATAGTGTTCACTTGCATGTAAACCCATGTAATCAGGTAAATTTGTGATTGCCCAAATGCAGCTACTATGTTCTCAGTTAAGAAGAATTTTAAAAAATGGATCGCAGCCAAAGCAGAAGAATTAATACTTCTTTCAAGAGAATCCTGGAAAAGCCCTACAATTTTATTATTTTGAATTGGATACTTAGCAGAGCAAAAACATTTTAAGTGTACCAAGGAAACACAGGGTCTAGTAAGACAGAGCAAAAGTACCTCAGTGGTAAGCAGGATCAAATTCAATCTAAATACTTATATTATACAAAAAAGCCTCTAAAGGGCCTAATTTTTTTAATTTTTTTTTTTATCTGTGCTCAGTCATTACTGACTCTGCAGTGACTGCTCGGATGAGTC